GGGGCCCCATTTTGCCCCCCCCCCCCCCAGATGCAATTCTTGTACAAAATGCTATGACTGATAACAAAAACAACCCGGAAAATGCTATGTGAAACAGGAAGAACAACATCCACTAGCTTGCCACTCCATTATTTATAGCATATCACGCTTTAGTTGATCATCTCACATACATGTACTCCAAACACAAACCAGCTGCAACAACCAACACCAATTACAAACAGAACCAAACTATATACACACAAGTTTGTATCTCAGCACAAAGACTTATTTGGCTTTGATTCAAGGCATTTAGTTACGATCTGGGTCGGTGAAGAAGCTGTTAATGGATGGCATGATTTCTGGTCGCTTATTACGAACAAATTTTCTGAGAAAATGCTCAGCATACTTTTCTCCCTCGGCATAGTTCTCCAGTACTCCAGCTGCCCTGCGTTCCTTGTTAACCCTGATGGAAACAGACAATGGTAAGTCATTAGCCCAAGAGAGAGATACCTAAATAAACCTCTTGACATATTCATCTTAAACAGAAAAGGGACTCAAAGGGAAAAGTAGAGATGGTTCCACTTACAGAGTCAGAATGACGGTAAAAGAAGGTATTCTAAAGAATAAAAATTAGGATCAAAATCAATACTATCTGATAATACCATAAATCACAGTTTAGCTTAATGCATTACAGTTCAGTATTACTGAGCTCAATTAGACTGTCCTGATGATCCGGGTCATCCAACACAAGTATACCAACTCTCAGATCACCAAGTGATATTCAAGTAGCTCAACTACAATCACACCAGTTTGAATCTAGCCACTAGAAAATGAAGAGTTCAACAAGTCAATCCTATCTTGGGTAGCAAGTCACCGCTTCTAGAAGCCCACGTGGACATTTGTTAGGATTTTCTCCAACGGCCAAATGTTCCCCAAATGATTCTAATAGATTGAGGGGACTACACAATCTTGAATAAATACAAAAACATTTGCTTGTATAAATAAGAGGGACCCCCTACTGAAAAAACGGATTGAACCCTCTATAATTACTTTCCTCTTCTTCCTCAAGCAATACAACGAACGCAAGAACAACAAACTCCATTCACAGTGGACTAGCCGAACTGTTCAGCTTGATGAACCACTTAAACTCTTGTCTATGTCATTGGGTTTTGATGGATCATACTGGCCGGCCGCTTACATCATAACTCTACACGCATTACCCTCCAATTCCTCAGTTTTTTGCACCATCACTATCAAACGTTACACTTGATTCATTCTAAATGTGGATACATTTTGTTTAAACTGGAAGAACCTCACAAATATTATCACAACAAATGGGGTTCTGCTGCAAATATTCTTATCTGACATTCGAATTTTCCTGCAGTTCAAAAGACTGCAAAGAGTCTGATTTTTTGGACGATTGTAGTATGTCACTTGTTTATCTGGAAGTATGATCTTGGTGAAACATGATTCATGTAGTCGGCCTAAAAAATATTATAACAAGGTTTTGTTGAGTTGAGTTTAGTATAAGTATGCAACTTCATGGTACTCCACAATCATTTCACCATGGATGCACTCTGACGTCTCTCAGAAAGTCAAGTATCTCACTAAACACATCATTTTGACTAAGTTGTTTGCTCGCATATTGCTCGGAAATGATGCTTCATTCAACAAATAATTTCTTATAAAGTTGGAGTTTTCTATGTACTTGTGTATGGGGAAGCCTTCAACTATGAACAAACCATCTAGTTAGAGTAGATCTGTCCACACATGCTCCTCATTCTATAACTTCTTTTTCAATCACATTCAAAGCCACCTTTTTGTCTAAATGCATCAGCAATCTTATTACTTCTCGGAAAAAAAATTATAACCATCAAATATTCAGAGTCAAAATGATAAAACACGTGCAAATGCAACTATGCACAAAAGATTCATCTAAAAGAACAACAAAACATGATCAATTAACAGATTTAACGGTTAAAATTGAGTATTTACTTTGATTCAATAATACAAAATTCATTTCAATTTTCTTTTTCCCACTCAAAACGTCTTCTTCATGACCCCTAATATTAAACAATCGACCAATCCACTCGCTAATACAAGACAACTTTACTAATTCACAAATACCTCTCTTTTCTCTCTCTCTCCTACCTTATCTTATTTTTTCTATTTGTTCATTTTAATTATAAATTGTGTAATTTTTTTTAAATAAATAAATTAATATTTGAAATATAATATTGCACAATATAGCACGAGTTATTGCTAGTTGAACAATATAACACATGGACAATTCAAAAAAGAAAAACAAAATATAAGTGTATATATATATATATATATATATATATATATATATATATATTGGACACGGAGAGAGAGAGAGAGTACCTGNCAAATGTTCCCCAAATGATTCTAATAGATTGAGGGGACTACACAATCTTGAATAAATACAAAAACATTTGCTTGTATAAATAAGAGGGACCCCCTACTGAAAAAGCGGATTGAACCCTCTATAATTACTTTCCTCTTCTTCCTCAAGCAATACAACGAACGCAAGAACAACAAACTCCATTCACAGTGGACTAGCCGAACTGTTCAGCTTGATGAACCACTTAAACTCTTGTCTATGTCATTGGGTTTTGATGGATCATACTGGCCGGCCGCTTACATCATAACTCTACACGCATTACCCTCCAATTCCTCAGTTTTTTGCACCATCACTATCAAACGTTACACTTGATTCATTCTAAATGTGGATACATTTTGTTTAAACTGGAAGAACCTCACAAATATTATCACAACAAATGGGGTTCTGCTGCAAATATTCTTATCTGACATTCGAATTTTCCTGCAGTTCAAAAGACTGCAAAGAGTCTGATTTTTTGGACGATTGTAGTATGTCACTTGTTTATCTGGAAGTATGATCTTGGTGAAACATGATTCATGTAGTCGGCCTAAAAAATATTATAACAAGGTTTTGTTGAGTTGAGTTTAGTATAAGTATGCAACTTCATGGTACTCCACAATCATTTCACCATGGATGCACTCTGACGTCTCTCAGAAAGTCAAGTATCTCACTAAACACATCATTTTGACTAAGTTGTTTGCTCGCATATTGCTCGGAAATGATGCTTCATTCAACAAATAATTTCTTATAAAGTTGGAGTTTTCTATGTACTTGTGTATGGGGAAGCCTTCAACTATGAACAAACCATCTAGTTAGAGTAGATCTGTCCACACATGCTCCTCATTCTATTACTTCTTTTTCAATCACATTCAAAGCCACCTTTTTGTCTAAATGCATCAGCAATCTTATTACTTCTCGGAAAAAAAATTATAACCATCAATTATTCAGAGTCAAAATGATAAAACATATGCAAATGCAACTATGCACAAAAGATTCATCTAAAAGAACAACAAAACATGATCAATTAACAAATTTAACGGTTAAAATTGAGTATTTACTTTGATTTAATAATACAAAATTCATTTCAATTTTCTTTTTCCCACTCAAAACGTCTTCTTCATGACCCCTAATATTAAACAACCGACCAATCCACTCGCTAATACAAGACAACTTTACTAATTCACAAATACCTCTCTTTTCTCTCTCTCTCTCTCCTACCTTATCTTATTTTTTCTATTTGTTCATTTTAATTATAAATTGTGTAATTTTTTTTAAATAAATAAATTAATATTTGAAATATAATATTGCACAATATAGCACGAGTTATTGCTAGTTGAACAATATAACACATGGACAATTCAAAAAAGAAAAACAAAATATAAGTGTATATATATATATATATATATATATATATATATATATATATTGGACACGGAGAGAGAGAGAGAGTACCTGACTTCAGGGTTGATGCAGATATTGCGCACCAACTGAAATCCGCAGATACCGATGGCAACCCCAAGGGCCGCAAACAGTGGATACACCTACACGTACTCATATACCATCATAATAAAAACCCCCGGTGAGACCACAAAGATTAGCAACAAACACATCGGGGAGAGAGAGAGAGAGGAACAGACCTCAGGCCTCAGCCATCGATTGACACCAGAAGAAGCCATTGAAGAGCTCAATCTGCAATAAGGGAATAAGTAATTGATCAGAGAGAGAGAGAGAACAGGTGGATGAAAGTGACAATTTGATATATATTATCTTCAAGAGCTGGGGGCTCGTTTTCCGAGACCTATATTTATTTATTTATTTATTTAATTACTATTGGTGAAGACGGTATTTGATTGGCTGGGTGGGTCCCACAAATTCCCCGATCAGGGAAGAACACGTGTCTATTTCTCCCACTCTTCGAGTGCTGCCTTAGTTAATACTAATACTAATTAGACTTGCTGCTCTTAAAAGTGTTAAAAGAATATTTTCCCAAAAACACTTTTTTTTACGTGTCTGCACAAAAAAGATATTTTTTGATATCATATATTTTTTTGTAATTAATAAAAATATTTTAAGCATATAATTTTTGTAATCAATCTATCTAATAAAACACATACATAGCATAAACAACAAAAACAATTCACATCAACTAAAAATTAATCAAACGGTACAAAATCACTTCATCGCCTCCAGAACCTGAACCTCTCAGCTATGCCCCCCAAAATAGAAAATTCTATCGTTATGTTGGGCATAGCACTAACAGTTGCATAGTTCTTAGGCATTTTGTTCAAAACCACATTAAAGAGGGTCAGATCTAACTTTGATTGGAATTTTCTCCAACTCTCAACGTCAATAACACCTCACTAATATCACGTGGTTAATAGTAATTTCAGAATTAATACAAGAAAGACGAGGTCACCAAATTATGAAGCAAAAGAACTAGCTTTACAGAATCTGCTGCTCCTACATCTCCGTTCAGCAGATATATACCTCGAAAACATTTAGGAGCGATTCCACTCATTAGCATCAATTAGCTCACCAAAACCCTAGTTTCACGAGAATGGCACGAGAAGAGACCAAATTTGAAAAGAAACTTTCCTGGTTCTGTATCGATTGGTTCCAACTTGAGGCTTCTCCTGTATGTACACTGTTGGATTATCCATCGCAGATGACTAGACTAGAAATGCCAAGCACGTAGCATCACGAAGAAAAAAATAAGTCGCTGTAGTTACGAGCTCCAAATGCCCTGTCAAACTGTAGATCCATTCAAACTTTCCGAGCACGCTCACGCCAAGAGCCTTGTTGCATTGTGAGTACCTAAGGTAACAACACGTTTACATTCTTATGAGCATATTAAACCGAAAGCCCTGTGGCATAAAAAGTACCTATAAGCTGCAACCAAGGTAACATGCTGAAAAATCTCACCTGCTCACTTATAAGACTTGTAACTGGAGCACTTCCAGTGTTCTCTTTTTGGTCGTTATCCTCTTCTACGTTCTCGTCAGTGTCAACGGATAGTGGACGTGCAGAAGTTCCAAACATGGCCTTGTCATGAGCAGCCTTGATTTCTTCTTCTCTCCTCACCTTCAATATTATAAACAATAAACATCAGGAACCAACCACCTTTTCCTTCCAGAAAAGGGTAACCAACTTTTCCTTGAACTTTATTCCAATGACCACAGACCAACAAATGGGAACAAAAATTTTCATTCAGAAAAGGTGATCTCTCTCATTGAACACTTTTTGCATATCCATCAAATGGGAACAGAGATTTGAGTAAAAAAAGATGCATAATACCGTCACAGCAGAAAACCGAAAGCTTTGACCTATGTGCTTGACTAAGCCTGCATCATCCTCGGCAGCTGCAGATAGGAAAACAATAATATCATTACACTTTCCTGTACTAAGAATACAGAGACAGAAGACAACATCTCTTCCAGGTACACATCTCAATCGTGAGCAAGGATAAAGTAGAACAGTTGATAGCCCACAAAATAAAAGGATAAAAAACATGAGATAGGAGTCAACTCCCTACTTTGGGCAACAAAACAAAATCAATAATGGATATATTGATCAATAATATATCGTGGCTAACAGAATCAATAATGGATATATGCACAGAATGTTAAACCTTCAATTTCCTCATCATCAAGAGGTGCATCCTTGTTGAACTCAAATCGTTCCCATCCTGAGCCCATGCTCTTTGTTTCATCCTTTTCAGCTGCAAACAACATCAACATTTTGACAACTCATTACCTACTCCACTAATAAAAGTACCTTCACATGAAAAACTTCTAATTTCCTATTTTTCTCTTATAACAAACTATATAACATGACCTCTTACATCTAAATATCCAAATTAACATTATACCATTTTGTATTGAAATATCTAAATTACCTTCAATATATCATGTAATTCTCTCCATGTTTGCAAAACTTTTAAATGGTCATATTGCGCTTAGTATACCGTACAAAGACACAACTACTATCCCCTAAAACCTAAAACCTAAAACTTGTATTTTTCTTTTTTATCCAAAAATTCAACCCTTGAATCATTTTATCTTTTCAGATTTTGAAGTGTTTTTCTCATCTACAAAAATATATTTATTCACTATTGTCTCTTGATATTTCTTGTACTCTCCCTGAGATTTCTACGTCTTTCTCATTTAAAAAAAACATTTTTATTCTCTATTGTCTTTTTATACTGTTGCTCTCACTCTACTTTGTGTTGCAAATAGGTAAGAATAAATATTTGTTTCACAGTATAATGAGCAGATATTTACAATGACTTATCCACGTGTAGCATCAATCGCAATTTAACTAATTTGGAGTTACGAAGGTGTGGCAGGGGCACATATTGTGTTTTCTAGCTTGTGCTTCTTGGCAGCGAGTAGGAAATTACTGAGGCACAAAATAAAAACAATAAATCCAAAAAGAAAAAAGACACCATGAAAGGGAAATTCTATCTCCAAATGGCTATCATAAAATAGTCAGACAAAACGATTTCATAGATGTTTATAACGGAATAGGAACGATGATATAAATATAACATTTTCCTTAAACAAGTTAACTTGAATATTTTATATNCCAAATGGCTATCATAAAATAGTCAGACAAAACGATTTCATAGATGTTTATAACGGAATACGAACGATGATATAAATATAACATTTTCCTTAAACAAGTTAACTTGAATATTTTATATGATGATATAAAATCATATGAACAATACAATATTACTATGATGCATATGAGATACTATTTAATCTAGTTACACATATACTCTATATTTTTTCATATATTTTATCAAATATTTTCACAAAAAACTTTCATGTGCAACACACATGGTGCATTACTAATCAAAAATAAAAGACATGACAGTTGTAGATATACTTAGGAAGTTTGACAAGTATCTCTGCAAAATTATAATCCTCACAGGTTTCAAAAAAATCATTCATGCTCTTTTTCTTTTCTTTTTTATGCTAGGTAAATTCGTTCAACTTTCCAAAAAAAAACAATTAATCAGCCACAGGAACACCTTCAGATTCTGTTTCATACTCAACTATGTTTCCAACATGTCTGACAAGCTATCTCCCCACACATGGACCTCTGTCATCTCCCATGGACATAGAGCATGGAGAGATAGAATGTTCAGACAGTTCTAGCCTATAAGAGTCAAACATAAGTAGGTAATGATCCACCAAATACAACCACCCCAAGGAAGGAAAAAAAATTGCCTTATGATCTAGAAATCAGCAATCTTGACAGCAACTAAGGAATTGGTGGTCACACCAGACATACCAACAAAACAGAGAATAGAATTCCTCTTGTGTTTGCAATGACATTTACGTGACTGCACATAACACTTCTTCGGCAGATAAAGAAATAGCTTTAAAAAATAAACAAAGCTATGTTAAGAGCCAAATTCAAAACTGGAAATATTCACATCAACACACCCAAAATTCCGGAAGCATTCCATTCAGCATTTCTAATCAAAGCTGTTCACGTGATCAACTAAACAAAATAAGACAGGCATCTCATCCTTGAATAGAAATCAAAGGTAATCTGTCTTCAACTGCCCAATGACGTTAAAAATACTAGATGACCTATAAAGTAAACCAAGGTCAAATCTTGCTCATACATGTGTTTCCACCCAACAAATATACCTTCGCTTCTCTACTCAATTTTCGCAAAGTAGCTTTTATCGAGAGAATGCAGTGAAAGACTATGCATAATTATTGGATGAAAGAAATAACATTCATTCAGATAAGAACTAAGTCAGAAGAATCAGAATTTTGTTTAAGTTACCAGTTTCAGAAAGCTGAAGTTTCATCTTGGCTTTAACTCTTTCAGCTGGTGTCTGCAAATATTACTACAACCATGATTCCCCAATCAATAGAAACAGCGAAAAAAGAAGAGAAAAACAGGAAAAGATTATACAATTAACACAGCCAAATACATCATGTCCTACAACTAGCACATCACTGGGTCATGAGGATTGGACAATCCGATATCACCATCAACCTTTTGATTATTATTCCATGTAATGGTAACTGTTCAGTGCCTAAAATAATTACATTCAACCAGGACTTTGGAGTTCGTGTGGATTCCACAGATTCTAGTATATTCGACTACATTATGCTAAAATGAAATAAAGCACCCATAGGTTTTCTACAAGACATAAAATATGAACCGTCAATTAAAAGGTCACGAAGAAGATCCAAAGAAGTAATGGATATGCAAGATAATAGACAATAAGAAATGCTAAAATAAAATAGTACTACCACGTAGAAACAACCCTGTGTCTGAAGACACTATAATACTAAAAATCGAGCACTGATCATACACCATTTATATTTTAAATAACAATTTAATTTAATTAAGTAATTTAAAATTAAAATGAACAAAGAAAAAAACAAGAGAGAGGTATGGGAGGATTAGTGGGATTATCTGATAATAGGAAATATGTTGGTTGAGTTGTCTAGCATTTGGGTCATGCACAGAAGATGATTTATTGTGCCGGAAAAAAAATTTGGGATGTATTTTGTACCTGTTAGAGTATGTGCGGCTCATATTTGTTGTGTGCACAATGGCAAGGAGGCAGTTGTCGGACAGGGGTATTTTGGTTATATAAATACTTAAAATGTAATCCTACTTTGAATAATGAGAAAGAACGGCCGCNATATGTATTTTGTACCTGTTAGAGTATGCGCGGCTCATATTTGTTGTGTGCACAATGGCAAGGAGGCAGATGCCGGACAGGGGTATTTTGTAAATACGTCTGTACTAGGGTTATATAAATACTTAAAATGTAATCCTACTTTGAATAATGAGAAAGAACGGCCGCTCACTGCTATGAATGTAGGCACATTGCTGAACCACGCAAATCTTTGTGTTATTTTCTCTTACTTTCTTAATTGTTTGATTCCTTATTATTCACCATAATTGCTGCACGATCACAACAGTACCATTGAATTAAAGTAGATGAGAATATATCAATCTTGACCATTGTAGTGTTTTTTTAAGTTGAATGCAACTATTCTATGTTTAGATATATGATACAGCTTATCACAACAACAAATACTGACATAAAATTCCACTAAGATAAACAAGGATGATATGTCAAGAATAGGTCAAATGCATGATTTCACATTCTACAATAGACTAACCAGTCATTTTTTTCCTTTTTGACCACATATATAACCACTACAGCTACTCTGATGTAGGATTTTCTTGACTATGCAACTGCCTTGATTTTGTAGATGTTGCACATTCATTCATTCAATGCATCTAATGAGAAGCACAACTNAGATTTCACATTCTACAATAGACTAACCAGTCATTTTTTTCCTTTTTGACCACATATATAACCACTACAGCTACTCTGATTGTAGGATTTTCTTGACTATGCAACTGCCTTGATTTTGTAGATGTTGCACATTCATTCATTCAATGCATCTAATGAGAAGCACAACTATACAGATATCGTTGTTGGCATTCAAGCAACCTTTGGTAAGTAACTTCACCTCGCTCATCTACAGGCCACACATGATATGTTAAGTGCTATGGCATTTCACAAAAGCAAATAAGTTCAACAACCAAAGTCGGTGTTCAACGATCCAAGCAACCAAAGTCATTTTTCAACAATCCAAGCAATCAAAGAGTTTTAGTATTGAACTTCCAAGAGTTAATTCTACTTGGTACTTACGTAAGCCTATGTAGCTAAAACCCAAAGCATCAAATATATCACTTCCCTAATTAGCAAAAATTGGAAACAGATACTAGCCGCATGACTTCGAAGCCAATGATTTGCATAGAAGATAATGTTAATAACAACTAAAATCCAGTAAATTCAGAGCATACCATTTTGTCATAGCCTTCTATCAATTTCCCATAATCAGTCCCACTCCCACCATTCCTCTCCTTCCCAACCTTGCCCCGATCTCCTCTGCTCTTCTCCGATCTCCGATCCTGAGGGGATACACTCCTACTCCGTCCTCTACCACTTCTCCTCCCTCTCTCTTCATCCGAAACACTCCGTGACCGGCTCCTCTTTCTCCTCCTCTCTTTATCTCTGTCTTTATTTCTATCTCTATACCTATCCCTACTCAACGAGCGATGCCGATGCCTTGACCCCCGATCACCTCTGCTCCTACTCCGACTTCGCCGCCTCGAATGCCTATCTCTATCTCTATCCCTGCTTCTACTCCGACTTCGCTGCCTCGAATGCCTATCTCTGTCTCTGTTACGGTCAATCGAAACCCTAGAAGAAGAATGATTATGGGAAGATTCAGATTTCTTCTTGAGCTTATTTTGGATGGTTTCGAGTTGAGCTTGTTTCTGGATCTCTGTGGCCTTGGAGGGGCTCGAAGCTCTGACGAATGTGCTGAGAAAGGAAGACGATGAAGTAGGAAGAGCGGAGCCTCTCGCCGGAACGCCGTCGTTGGTTGTGGAGGAAGAAGAAGAGAATCCGAGGCCTTGCTTGAACCTGGCGGCGCCTTCGCCTTTGCGAGTGAGCTCGTCGTAGTACGCTGCTGCTTTCTCCTCCTCCATTGTTGACACTGAATCAGAGAACCGAGAAGGGCAGAGTGAAAGTGAGAAAGCGTAAGCCCTAGGGGTGGTGTGCGTGCGGGGATTTAATCAATTAAAACGCCGCCGTTTCTTTAAATCTTCTTCCAATTCTATTTCTTCATTTTGCCCACCTTTTTAGTACTAATTACAATTGGGCCCCATGTAGTTTATCACCAAATCTAATAAACGTCTCGAATGGAGTGTTTAAATTGCAAATTCAAATATCCTGAATTCGAATTTTAGTAATTCATCGGACCTAGGTCATGAGAGATTTATCTCTTAATTATATCATAATTCTAACGTGTATGATCTGTCTTTAACTGAATTAGAGAAAAAATTAATCAAAATACACATAAACTTATCTAAATATATTTAAAAAAAAAAAAAAACCGTTTTCTTGAACTTCCTAGTCATGTTTCCAATTAGAAGTTGGAAATGTGAAGGTTTTACTATGACTTTTTGATCAGACTATGACCTCAAATATGATTTTTTGGCAATTCATTAACAAGTATTACAACATTAAATTTTAATGTTTTTGGCGAGTGTTCATGGTTATGGTTGTTTGTGATTATCATTTCAATAAAACCTTAATTTAGAAATTTTATTTTAAAATAGTCACAATATTTTCGTTTTCAAGGAGATTGCAATGAATCAGTGATTGAATTAAAACTTTAACACTTCGAGATATTTTTTAATGTTTTAAGGAATTTTAAAATATTTTGGTATTTTTCACCATTGTTTAGGAATATTCTAAGATATTTTTGATATTTTTTTGGTCAATGTTTCGAAATATTTTAAAAATAAATTCTCAACGTTTTTATTCATTTTCGTTTTATTATGGAAAAAAATTCGACAATCTTTTATTTTTTAAATGATCAAAATAATGCACCAAAAAAATTAAATTAATCCTCAAATTTTGTTTATTCTTCAACTTAAAAGTCTTAATTTTGGAAGAAGTAATCATATTATAAAACGAGTAATGCAACACAACTCAAATAGAAATCAAAAAATTACAACTCAAATACATATTATCTTTTGAATGAGTAAGTCTCATTAATTTTTTCAGTAAGACTCACTCATCCAACACTCATTCAAAAAATAATATGCATTTGGATTATAATTTTTATATTTTATTTGAGTTATGTAAATTTTTTTTAATAAAAATGTTATACTCCATGCATTGCACACCAAAAACTTGGATTGAAGATCCATGGTGGTTGCGAAAAATAAAGAGCGGGAAAGCCCACATATCTTTAAATTAAAATAAACGAAAAAATGTGACTAGGTACAATGTGAAAGACTTTTTTGTGAGAAAAAATCTTGAAAAAAATTGTGTCGTAGATAAGTATCGTTAGGTTGAAATGTATCGTAGAATGATAAATAATGACAATTTTTTTATTATTCTCTTTATTATAATATTATTTCCCTATTTTTTATGGTTTTTGTATTTTGGCAGTTGCCTTTTATATGAATTTGATTTTATTGATAGGAAGTTTTTCTAGTCTAACCTGGAAGATATATATATATATATATATATATATATATATTTTAATTTTGAATGTCTAAACCATCTATAAATGAAGCAAGATCTAAACAAATCAACTTCTGTTTTGAAGCTGGTGGCATCATCATCTATAATGTGATAGCGATATTACAATGATACATAGTAGTGTAACACATTCATCAACACTTTAATCACAGACAAAAAATTGTGAAATTACATTCACTAATTTATATACAATTTAAATAATATGCATTATATAATGTGACATATATATCTATTATTTTTAATACATAAACTCAAAAACGATATTATAATTAATTGTTAAATTAGATTTTTGTTAAATGTGAATAATAAATTTTAGTTAAATCAACCAATTTAATTGATATTATTTAAACTATTAATCAAATGAGAGATTGAGTTGACGTCTACCATGAAACATCTAAAACACAGTGGGTCTGCTTGGTTTGTATATTGAAAATAGTTTTTTGTTCTCAGACCAATAAAAACTAGAGAAATCTGTTTGGTTAGAGTTTTCACTCTCCAATTTTTTTTTAAAAATGAGAACTAAGATCTAATTTTAGAGAGAACTAGAAGTTGTTTTCGGTGTTTTGGAGACAAAAGAAAGGAAAAAGTAGAAAACACGGAAACGAAGAGCAAACAGGTTTCATTTACAACGTCTCCCCTTCGAATCTTCTTAGAAGCAAAACAAGTCATGTCCCCAAAGAGGAGTATAAAAGGTTTTTTTTTTCCTTTCTCTTTCCCCAACTCTCTCTCTCCACTTCGGCTCTCAAAGGGAACGAACACACAGCAGCATCAAGATCTCCGACGACTTGTTCAAGATATCCGGCGGCTAGAGGTCTTCTTCGACTGGTTCAAGATCTCCGGCGATTTGTGCTAGATCCAAACATATTTGTTCTATTTATGTTAGATCCAGCGGCTTCAAGGCATCATCTCAGAACCTCTCCTAAATAGATTCAAGACATCATTTTGTTTATGGTTGGCTTTAATTATGATTTTCCATTGTGGGTTGGCTTCAAAGCTTGGATTGTTGTGTATTTTTGAGTTGTACTCTAGATCCGTGTTTTTTTGGGGATTTCTTTGTTAATGGCTCTTATGATTTAGAAGCCAATATCTTATGTGGAGATTTTCCTTCTTGCATGAGTTTTTTTTATTTGCTCGGTGATCTGTATTAGTTAATGGGTAATCAATGGCTAGCGTTTTTTCTTTTTTTTTTTTTCCAAGTTTATCAAGTTTAATATATTAAAATATTTTTTATATGAAATTGTCAATTCAAACGGGTTTTATTGTTTTCTATTTTGTGGAATTGTTTTTTGAATCGTTTAATCAAACAAGTTTTTCGTCTCAGAAAAATCAAAACATAATTTTTAAAAACTATTTTCAAATACTGTTTTTAGAGATACAAACCAAATAGGCCTCGTTATTTTTTGAATAATGTTTTGCATGTTATCTTTGTGTCCCATCTTCCTTACACGGACATAATCACAATCTATAAAATAAAGTAAATTTATGATTCAAATTTTAAAAGATAAACAAAATAATTTTTATTTTTTGCTGTTTATATCGTTTTAAATTTTACTTTAAAATTAATCTAACGGCTAATATTAACACTCTAAATTTAATGGGAAAAATAAGTTTCTAATGGTGTGTTTGGAGTGACTTTTTAAAAATATTTTTAGAAATTATTTATCATAAGTACTTTTAAAAAAAATAGTGTTTGAAACTACCTCCGTCACCACCACCATTACCACCACTGCCACTGCCACTACCACTGTCGCCGTCGCCACCACCACCACTATCACCACCGTAGCCGCCATCACCACTATCCCAACATCGCCTCCACCACCGTCGTCACCGTCACCACTATTATTATCGTCACTACCATGGTCATTGTCATCCACCACAACCATTACCGTCTCTTACTACTACCATTGCCGCCCACCATATCTCACCTCCATTACAATCGATATTTAAATTCATTTATCTTTCATCTATGTTTATGATTTGATTTTAGATATGAATATAAATATATTTATTATTTATTATTTTGTGTTTTCAAGTACAGATAATAACTATTATTGAATATTTGATAAATTTTGTAAAATTTATTAATTTAATAATATATGTTTAAAATAGTGTACAATAGTAGTATATATAGCATTATTGTTATTTTTTTCTGTATTGAATCGTGCAGTTAAAGGCTAGTTCTTCTATTGTTGTTGATTGATCAGTTATCGAAACATTTGATCCGAACCCTTGATCGAATTAAAAAATAAATTAGTCGAATTTCTAACTATTTAACAAAAAATTTGACCATTCACGCAAATAGAGGGAATGAGTCATGACCAGACCGAAAAATCTTTCTTGGTCTGTGGAACCCACCTGTGCTCGAATCTACATGACCGTACGAAATCTATATTTGATTTGGAGAAGGAGATCGTCTCTCTCTATACACGCACATACTTTCATAGAGCATTAGAGGCGGCTTTCCTCTGTTAACGCCGCCGTTTAGCCTCAACAAAACGAGGATTTGCAAGTCAGAGCCGGAGGGGACAAATCAACTTAACGGTGATTGATTTATGCTCCGTTTGATAGAGATGATGAAAAATAGAAAAAATGAAAAATAAGAGGAATACATTTTTTTTTTTTTACGTTTGATTGGATGGATGAAAAATAAAAATAACTATTTTTTTTTTTTGCTGACTAAAATTAGGAGTGATAATCGAATCGAGTTGAGTCTGTCAGATTCGTGTTAAGTCATTACGAATTTGTATCGAATATTAGTCAAACTTAATTTAACTCATTTAAATTCATTTATCTCTTCTTTATGTTTATGATTTGATTTTAGATATGAATATAAATATATTTATTATTTATTATTTTGTATTTTTAAGTACAGATAATAACTATTATTGAATATTTGATAAATTTGATAAAATTTATTAATTTAATAATATATGTTTAAAATAGTGTACAAAAGTAGTATATATAGCATTATTGTTATTTTTTTCTGTACTAAATCGTGCAAGTAAAGGCTAGTTCTTCTATTGTTGTTGATTGATCAGTTATCGAAACATTTGATCCGAACCCTTGATCGAATTAAAAAATAAATTAGTCAAACTTCTAACCATTTAAAAAACAATCTCACCATTAACGCAAATGGAGGGAATGAGTCATGACCAGACCCAAGAATCTTTCTTGGTCTGTGGAGCCCACCTGTGCTCGAATTTACATGACCGTACGAAATCTATATTTGATTTGGAGAAGGAGACCGTCTCTCTCTCTACACTCACCTACTTTCACAGAGCATTAGAGGCGGCTTTCCTCTGTTAACGCCGTCGTTTAGCCTCAACAAAACGAGGATTTGCAAGTCAAAGCGTCTCTGCATAGACCGCGTACAATAACTGTCCTAGCTCTATTGTGAAAAGGAAGCAAATCAACTTCACAGTGATTGACAAGAAAAAAACTTAACAGTGACTGTACATACTTTGAC